CCATTACGTTTTGTTGTAAATTGTGCATTGGCCCCTGGCGTTGTGGGCAAGAGGTCATAATCCAATCACCTGTCGTTGTTGTTAAGTAGCCCCTCCAACCGATCATGTTGCGAAGGCCTCTCCCACTGTTGACCAATAGGAAACAAATTTTCAGCAGCTGGTGAGGTAAGCATGTTATCCGTCATAACTCATAAGCCCGCCCAAAATTCATACACAAATCGTAAGTGACATGAGTGGTCACTGTTTACCCAGTCTGTAACAAAGTAACAAAGGACGTCAACATGAACTTGTGACAGAAGCGTGCTCGTTCTTCGAGTGGCGATCCATGTATTTGTTTTAACATGGCACTCGGTCTTCCTCGTCTGATACACTTCGTTTTATTGTCACCCTTTTGCAAAATCAGCAACAAGAACAAAATACAAATCACCACCACCACCAACAACAACAACAAAAATGCAGCTACTTTCGATTGGGACCTCAGATGGGAATGGTTTGTTTTCTTCATCTTGATCAGTCCTGCCTAAGACGGCCACCTGTGTTATACGGCCACTTTTCTCCTTGACAATGGGAGGCCGTCTTACACAGGTTTGACTGTATTTGCCTTTCTTCTTGCTTTGACACAAATAATGTTTGAAAAAGATAAAGTGATACTACTTCGTGACTACAAGAACTCTCTGCTTATAAGGTGTAAAAGTGCAGACAGCTGCATATGACAAAGTGACGAAGAATAATTTGCCTCTCACTTTAGCTGATTAAGTTTCATCCTGAGTATGGTACCTTTCACAAAATAGGCTGTGTGCAATTGACCTCTGCTTTGCTATGTCAAATTTGACTCAATAGCCCAAAGGGTATATCAAATTCCACGCTCAAATGATCAGACCCCTCAGTGTCATGTGACATGTACCAGCCTTGTGATTGTCTGTTTTCATCAATTAGGACCCAATTGTGACCCAGAAAATTACACATACTTGATTTTGGAGGATTTGATCAAATTGTAACTTCCATGAATGAAAATCTAGTCAGCTTCTTCCGTATCAAACCATATCAAATAGGGATTTGACAGATTTTTGTTGTGGGCATTGGGTGTAACATACACTTTATACTGGATGTGAAGTACTCACAGATCTGGTCTTCAACTGAGTACAGTAATCTGAAAAGATTTTTTATTACTTGTTTGTTTATTGTTATAATTGCATTTACATATGGTATTTTCAGGCAAAACTTGAGGCAACCATTGAATCCTACAAAAAGAAACTTGGTGAGTTTATCTTTGGGTTTTGGTTGTTTTCTTTTAGTTTGAGTAAAGAATAACATGTGGACATGATAATAGAAAAGTGGTTTTTTTAAAAGCAAGATAGACAAATGCCCTCAGATGGTGAAGAAAAAGTTTGTAACTGTTTGCCCCTTTCTTGGTTAGTTAGTGTTAATGTCTTTTGTTATTTGACTAAGAGGACTGGCTGTTATTTCGTAATGTTCACCTTTTTTTAAAGCACATCTTTACTTTAACTAACTTGTAATTTTCTTCATTAAAAAAAATATATTATTTGCTTTTCAGAATATGAATATATCTATCAACAATCTTAGTTTAACCCAAATGTTTATTTACACAGCTGAGGCAATTCATTTAACAGCATTTTGTTCTGCCTTTGATTTCTTATCAGAGCACTGGGTATTAGACTTATGTCATTTTTGCCTCTGGTGTCTAGAAGTTTGGTGAAGTAATTGGAAGATACAATAGCGATTTTGTCTTTGGAAACCTTGCTTTTGATATTTTTCTGTACACATTCCAGAGGACCTGAGCGATTTGCGTGGTCAGATGAAGCTGTTAGAAGAAAAGAATACAAAATATATGCAGCAACAAATTGAAATGGAAGAGGTAAGTCTTTCAATCAAATATATTTGCGGTTGAAGGAGGTGGGGCTCACCTGGTGTCGGAGGTAAAATTAGTGAGAAAACAGACGCCAAATCTTGTTGACTCCCAAAGCTGTAGTGTCCTTTGAAACTGTAAATTTACACTTTTTCTGCATTTGTGTAATATTTTTCAGTAACATCCAGGCAAGAATGTGTTTTTAAATGGACATTAACTCACTTGACTCTTTTCCCGCACCTGTTGCGGGAAGCCCAGGCAACCGCCTATGTCCAATCCTGCACCCCTTGCGAGATCGGTATTTAAAACATGACAGCGCTTCTAATTCACCGCCAAAGTTGCGGAAAACGCCACACCAAGTATCATTTACTTCCTGCTGATCAAAATTTCGTTTCAGATTTTGTTTCGAAGTAGTAGCTTTTATGTAGCAGATGATTTTGGGAGCTCACATCAACGGATCTGCAATATTTTCCTTCCATCACTGTGGTCATGGAGTCGGCACACATTATAGCAATGACCACGAAAATCCTTTTTTTGCCAGAATGTTTGCAAACAGGTGCATTTTGTAGCTTTATCTTCACAGAGCATGGAACTTTTTGAATTTTGAAATCCATCAATAAACAAAAAAGTTACGGATTTTTTAATCAATTAATTTCTGGTACACTTTTATATAATGAAAAAAAAACAAAATATGGGACGTTCTTTGGTGAGTTTTGAGACAATATTCGTCATAACTGGCTCATTTCTCGGAGTATTTAAAAGAAACTTGGCAACCCAGTACATTGTCTAGTGCAGAATCTAGTCCTGCTTTCAGATTTTTCATAGCTATCCTATTTTTTGAGTTATGAAGGCGTTTATAGGTAAAAATGTGACGGTTTTCGGTGCGTTTTCAGACAATATTTGTCATACCTCGCCTATTTCTTTGAATATGTAAATGAAACTTGGCAGTCTAGTACATTTTTTAATGCAGAATCTAGTCATGCAGTCAGATTTTTAATATATGTCATACTTTTTGAGTTGTAAAGACATTTACAAGTAAAAAAGTGGCATTCTTTACAGATTTACAAAGTTTATCAGTCATATGTTCTCCCAAAGTCATGATATTTGAATGAAACTTGGCAACATAAAAGGTTCCTCCTTGCCAAGCAATGCTCTGGATCAATTTGTCACAAAAATGTACGTAGAGAGCTACTAATAAATCCAGTTCTGTACTAGTAAAAGCATGCATACTTTGTTATAGAAAATAAGATCGTCTCTGTGTATATCCATTGTTGGACAGTGTCCTATTGTGTGGTAGATTAAGATGCGTTCAGATAATATAATTTACAAGTCATGGGAATATTTCGCATGTGTAGGCTACAACTCATACAATAAATGTAACATATTTACACCCCCCCCCCCCCCCCAACCCCTTCTCTCTCTCTCTCTCACGCGCGCACACACACACACATGCACGCGCGCGCACTCACCCACACACGCGTGAATGATAACAATGTATAGTATAAACGGGACTATCTTCCCAGACTGGACTAAATAAGTACCATACTCTTTAATAACAATCTTAATGCCTCACTTTTCCAAACAGAGCACACAGGACGAGTCCAAGTGTGTGCTTTCCCAAGTGGGGGGAATAGGCTTTCATAACGCAAACACAATGCCATACCACTTCTCAAGATGTTTGCTTTTCTGTTTCTATTCTTCTGTCATGCAATCAAGCAAATAAAAATGACTACATCTATTGTATTGTGACTAAAATGCAACAAAAACGTAAGTTATCAAGGCCCCCGTTTAGTTTTCAAGTATCCTTCCCCCCCTTTCCGGTTCACATAAGCGGGGCCTCGTTTGTAGCGCCCGAGGCGACCGATGGCTGATGACGTCACTCAGTGGAAATTTCCAAGCCGCAGGTCGTTCACCCAGCACCCGCAAATGGCAATGCCGCTTTTTCCCTTAGTTACTCCCACATTTTTAAAGATTACGCGAAAACCGCTAAACACAGAAGCTTGAAATTTTAAGAGAATAAAGAAAAATGGTGTACAACGTATCAGTCAGTTTGACAAATCACAGCTCCTAAAAATCTTCAAAGCGCACCACATCAACCACTTTCGCAAACGTTTTCGACTGCTTCTGGGATGGGTACAATGTTGTCAAACTGCATACTACGAGATTGACCTCTTTTCTGATTGGCTGCCAAGTTTCATTCATATCCATTCACGAGAAGCGGCGTGAGAGCGAGTTGAAGACAACAACCTTTGCGTTAGTGCGTCCCACGAAACACCCCCACTTCAGGGGCCAAAAATCGGCAGAACAAAACGCGCTCTGTGGGCATTGCTACACGTTACGATGTCAGAACAAACGCGCTCAATTTTGAGATTTTTTATGATAATAACGATGATTTTAGCAAGGGTATCGGAAGCTGCAACTCTGATTTAATTTTTGAGTTCATACTTAGTATTGAAAGAGCTCAGAATAAACTTTAAGAATGTGAAACACGGGACCAAGCACGAGTACTGACAATCGCGATAAGGGGAACTGCCCTGCAAACTTAGACCTAGGTCAAGTACTAGAGTTGGACCCACGATATGAACAGAAAAAAGAAAGATACCTTTAGATCCTGATCCTGTAGTACAAGAGCAGGAACTATGAGTAGATTTAGGTGACAAAATGTAACTAAATAAGGCATTAGATCTCATGCAAGTCAGCCTAGCAAGACAAAACGTGCAAAGGGAAAGGAGACATCAATCAAAGCTGTGCAGTCTGTGGCATTCCATTGCTCTTTTATTTTTTAGATTTCACTCTGAAATAACTGAAATAAACACTGTTTCTGCTGTAGAAAACTTGAAAGGTATGTACTAAGTTGATTTTGTTTTCAATTCCTCCCAAATCAAGCCCCTTTTCTGTACATTTACTCCTCCACAATTTGGAAAAGTACCTGTAAGAAAAATTCTGCGCTTGGTTAAATTGTGCCCATTTTTGAAAGATAACACAAAAGCCATAAAAAATTTCTTTGTCATTTATTTGCATGTTATTATACTATATCTGATGTTTCTGTGGTGTAAATTTGGTGCATGTAGTGTGAGAGGGTGAATTTTTGAAAACCTAAAAAAAGCCCAGACTCCAGCGCTTGTGTTTTCTAAAATACCCCAGACTCAGGTGAGTTAAAGGTGTTGAGTTTTGAGATAAAAGCAGAAACATGGGATTTTTTTTTATCCCAAGTCAAGTTAGGGTTTCCAACATCTTTTGTCTCTGTTCTGAAAGTCAATTTACTTAAATTTGCTCAATAAATGTTGTATTTTTATTTATTTCTGACATACCTTCTATTTTTTACTTTAAAAAGTTTTGACATCCCATGACTCATTGGTCCTGCTGTTAAACTTTACAAAGTGATTATTTTTTCTTTTGGTGAACATTTTTGTGGTGTAGTGTAAGTACAACTCTAAAATTCGGAATGGTAGAGGCCAAGGTACAAGTCAGTTATTATATTATAATCTTTTGTTGGGGAATATCTTTTGTACTGACATTTGTGAGGCAACCTGTAAGAATTGGGAATGTCAGTGCCTGGACATTTTGAATTTTTGCTAGCTGCTCATTTCAGGCATTCTCCTGAGAGAAATCTTGACTTCAAATTTTGAAGATATATGTTTTAGAACTCAGCATCAAAAGAAAACTAGAATATAAAAATTGGGAATTCAAAATACTGTTTTCGCCCACTTGCGGGCTTGAACTGATCTTTGTTTTCCACAGTATTATAACAACAACAACATAGTATTATATAGTCAAAATGCTACATGTGACTCAGTTTGTCTTATTGCAACACAAATTGCAAACAGATCTGTTAACTCCTTGACCATTAACCATATGAGCTTTTGCCAATAGGTGGGTACCTAAAATGTAGAACAGAGGGTTGATGATGAAGTTTATAATATTTAGTTTTTACTTGAATTTTTCTATTCATGTATGTCTCCTCCTACAAAAACATGTATTTACAGAACTACAGATGGCATGCTAAGCTGTGTAACTGACGTTACGCAACATCAAGTCAAATTCTTTCGGACATAACTATGATGGCACATTTTTTTTAGAATTTGTGCATACAAAATTATTTTACAGTTTTCTTATTGCTTTAATTTTCAAACATAAACATGAAGAGCATACAAAATGGTGAGGATCACAGAAACAAGAAATTCTGAATTCCGTTTTGTTTGCATTTGTGTCATCATAGTTATGTCCAAAAGAAATGAAAAACTTTCTGTTTATATATATATATATATATATATATATATATCTTAATCTCTTTCTTTGAAAATTTGGACAAACAAAGATTCAGAAGATTCAGTTTGACTCACAATGCATGTTAATGATGAGAGAATACCACTTTATTCACATTTTACTATGAATCTCTGCAAAATATCAAATATCTTTCGACATAACCATGATGACACAAAATGAAAAATACCTTGAAAAAGTAATTTACAGAATATAAAATTATTTTAATAGTTTTCTCATTGCTTTGATTTTCAAACATAAGCATGAAGAGCATATAAAATCACAGGAAAAAGAAATTCTGAATGTCTTTGTGTTCGCATTTGTGTCATCATAGTTATGTCAGAAAGAAATGAAAAACTTTCCATTTTCATATTTCATTCATTTTTTGGAAATTTTGGCCAACAAAGATTTAAGAGATTCAGTTTGACTCACAATGCATGCTAATGGTGAAAAAAATGCCACTTAATTCACATTTTACCATGACTATGCAAAATACCTAATATCTTTCTAACATAACCACGATGACACATGTCACATATAGTGAAAAAAAATTTGTAATCATTTTGGGACATATCATCAATTGACATCCAATTTTCCCCTCTCGTTGACTTCTAGACAAGCATAGGTGGTTACATCTAGATCTACCACTACTTGATCACTGGAACGCAGTGCGATGTTAATCATTAATTGGTTAAAAAATTTTAACATAACATGTTAAGATTTGATGACGACATAAGAAAACTTAA